AGTTAACACGTGCTGCCTTATAATTATCTATAGGCTATGTTTACACTTGTCAAGTTCAAATTATTTTCTAACAACAGTTTGAATTGAGGTGTGTTCCGCCTCCTCATAAATTCACATAGAAGTAGCCCGTTTCAGTGTTGTGGACAATTTATGTTTGAGGCTTTACTGAGCCGGACAAACTTCTCTCTTCGCGGAAAGCCCAAGCAACTCCCCAGTGTTTCCGCAGATCAAGTATGCCGACATTTGCGCAGTCTTGCACGAACTGGCACATTTTCTGGTTGGCGCTTGCATTGCCTTCATTGTTGTTTTCCTTAATAACTTTGGACATGTGTGCGTTCCTATCAAAGTAAGTGCCTTATTTTCTGTATATCGTGTTGACGTTTCTACTGTAGCATACAATAAGTATGTATGTACAGTACCAGTCAAAAGTTTGGACACAACTACTCATTCCAGGGTTTTTCTTTATTTTGACTATTTTCTACATTGTAGAATAATAGTGTAGACATCAAAACTATTAAATAACACATATGGAATCATGTATTACCAAAAAAGTGTTTACAAAATCTAAATACATTTATATTTCAGATTCTTCAAAGTAGCCAAGCTTTGCACACTCTTGGCATTCTCTCAACCAGCTTCATGAGGTAGTCACCTGGAATGCATTTAAATTAATTGGTGTGCCTTGTTAAAAGTTAATTTGTGGATTTTCTTTCCTTCTTAATGCGTTTGAGCCTTTCAGTTATGTTGTGACAAGGTAGGGGTGGTATACAGAAGATAGCCCTATTTGGTAAAATAACATATTATGGCAAGAACAGCTCAAAATAGCAAGAGAAATGACATTTATTTAGAATTCAAGGCACACTTAACCAGCATGGCTACCACAGCATTCTGCAGAGAAATGCCATTCCATCTGGTTTGCGCTTAGTTGGACTATCATTTGTTTTTCAACAGGACAATGATCCAACACACCTCCAGGCTGTGTAAGGGCTATTTGACCAAGAAGGAGAGGGATGGAGTGCTGCTACAGATGACCTGGCCTCCACAATCACCCGGCCTCAACCCAATTGAGATGGATTTGGATGAGTTGGACCGCAGAGTGAAGGAAAAGCAGCCAACAAGTGCTCAGCATATGTGAAAACTCTTTCAAGACTGTTGGAAAAGCATTCCAGGTGAAGCTGGTTGAGAGAATGCCAAGAGTGTGCAATGCTGTCATCAAGGCAAAGGGTGGCTATTTGAAGAATCTCAAATGTAAAATATGTTTTGTTTTGTTTAACACTGTTTTGGTTACTACATGATTCCATATGTGTTATTTCATAGTTGTGATGTCTTCACTATTGTTCTACAATGTAGAAAATAGTTAAAATAAAGAAAAACCCTTGAGTAGGTGTGTCCAAACTTTTGACTGGTACTGTACATTCAGCAGTCCATTAATAAGTTGGTGTGTGTAAGTGTGTGTGCTGCGGGGTTGAAGCTACGAACCCATAGGCTTGGCTCTCTCATCCCTTCCAGGCTTTTGGGAGGGAGAGTTGACAAGGAGCCTGTCATAGCGGATGTAAGCAATGTCCCCACACGCTCTGGCAGCTTTCATGGCTGGGATAAGTTATTTCCTCTTCTGGCTCACAGTTTCAGGATAGTCCTCGTTGAGGAAGATATATACGTTCCTCTCAAGTTCTTGGCTCTTTCCAGAACAGCTACCTTGTCCTTGAATCTCAGGAACTTGACCACTATCGGCCTGGGCCTGTCAAGTGGCCGGTGGTGGGTTTTCCAGTCCTCTTGGCGCACTCCACCTCAATCTTCATGTGGTCCATCTTCAGTTTCTCTGAGATCATTTCCCTCACATTGTTCTCAGACTGCGTCCAGGTCTCATGTGGAGATTCTGCAATCTCCACATGATAGTCTAATAGTCTATTTGCACTGACATTGGGAGGGGTATTTTTCTGGCTAACATTTTCAGTCACCAATTAATCAATAAATAGGCAGTGGAATTAAGTAGTTTGACAAGTGTTCAAAAGTCAGTAAAGTCTTTAAAATATAGCTGGCAAAGATATACACTACCTTTCAAAAGTTTGGGGTCACTCAGAAATGTCCTTGTTTTCGAGAAAAAAACGTTTTTTGTCCATTAAAATAACATCAAATTGATCAGAAATACAGTGTAGACATTGTTAATGTTGTAAATGGCTATTGTAACTGGCAGCTTCATTAAATAGTACCCACAAAACACCAGTCTCAATGTCAACAGTGAAGAGGCGACTCCGGGATGCTGACCTTCTAGGCAGAGTTGCAAAGAAAAAGCCATATCTCAGACTGCCCATCTTAATCTTAATTTCTAAGTGACCCCAAACTTTTGAACGGTAGTGTATATATATATTTTAAAATATATTTTGGGGATACCTAAAGGAGTCCTAAAATTCCAAATCAAATAGCTAAATGATCCATGGTATGACCATCTTAAAACATTTCCATAAGTTAGCTTAGTTCCCCCCAACCCCCCACCCTCCCCCCCAAATGTAAATCACAAAACATCATATGGCAACTTAGCCCTATAAATAGAATGCCAAATTCATGATATTAATATAATAACATTTACATTTGGATATTGTCTTTCAGTTATCTCTTTATTTAGGTTGATGGCATGACGTTGAAACAATGACGTTGATTCAAACATAACATTTTGCAATCAACATTGATTTCAACATAATTTAAACCATCCAATTGAATGTAGGATGAAAAGTCTGATTAAACAGTGAAAATATGTAAAAATGTCAGCATCTAAAATATAATGAAAATGTGACGTGAGAGGGGTTGAGTGAAAGGGGGAAAGTGGGGATAGAACTAAATCGATACCCTGTAGCAATTTACTGGATTGTTGGAGGAAACTAACTGAATCATTTACTCATGTGTAATACTATGTTTCAGTTTCCATACTGAGTGATATTACATAATTCACACCTCTGGGGAGTCCGTAAATTGGTCTCAATAGTAGTGTGTGGGCGATAGGGAGAGTGTGGGTGTGAGCATTTTCCCGTATCAATGAGTTCAACTGCTGCTGGCAACTGGAAGTGATACATTTAAGAGAAAATATATACTCGGTCACACACCCACCCACCACCCAACGCACACACACACACACACACACACACACACACACACACACACACACACACACACACACACACACACACACACACACACAGAGACTCTGCTTATCTCATTCGATCCTGATCACACATCCCTTATAATTTGTTATTATATTAAAAGCTGATTTTCCCAATGTGCAATTGTGTCCTGAAGAGTGTGTGCTTGTGTGTGTGAGTGAGAGAGTGAGTGAGTGAGTGAGACCGTCTGTGTGAGTGTCTGCCAGTGATGTCATTCCTTATCGGAGCTCTGAAATACAATGTGGGCAACTGCGGTAGGAAGGAGAGGTAATCAAGATAACAACTTCCCTGATGGGGCACATTAAATCAGCTCTCTTACACACACACACACACACACACACACACACACACACACACACACACACACACACACACAAGGTTGGGGAGTAACTGATTACATTAAATGTAATGTGATGACAAAACCCCCCGAACTAATCAGAAGTATTGTCATGAGATTACAGATACTTTTGAAAAACTAGATTACTTCTTGGATTAGTTTTAAATTCAGAAAGGATGTTTTTACGGGGGGGAAAATATATTATAGGTAGCCTAGCGGTTAAGAGTGGTTGCTGGAACCGAAAGGTTGCTGGTTTAAACCACCGAGCCAACTAGGTGAAAAACCTGTCAATGTGCCCTTGAAAGGCCCTTAACCCTAATTGCTCCTGTAAGTAACTCTGGATAAGAGCATCTGCTAAATGACTAGAATGTAAATGTGAAATAACACCTTTATGATTTCTCAATGACATTCAATTCAGCATTGAAAAAAGGCACAAGTTTAGGTTTGTTCCACCTGAGCGAGTCTGACCACAAGTCAGAGACCAGTATGATGACACACCAAATGTGTTTAATGGATGCTTTTAGTCTTCTTCTAATGCTTCTTAAGGGGAAAGTCATCCAAAATTAATGGAAAGTTACTGAGTTTGGGTAATCCCAAAATTACGTTACTGATGACAATTTTGGACAGGTAACTAGTAACTGTAACGGATTACATTTAGAAAGTAACCTACCCAAGCCTGCACACACACACACACACACACGTGAGTAAACACATTCAAATGTAAAGTAAGACACATTATTTCTTTATGCATGAATTGTCTCTTTTCAATTATTGCCCCACATCATCAAGAAATAAAAAATTACAAAAACAGAAAGTAGGAACTAAAACTCTTATAAACATTTGATCACAAATCTCTGTCTTTGTGGCTTCCTCAGGTTACAATAAACTGCATAATAAATTAAGAATAAGGCTGAGAATATCGTAGGTACAATACAAGTCTCGTGTTTATATTCTCTGATAAAGTCCCACTTCTTCACCACAGGAGGTTGGTGGAATCTTAATTGGGGAGGACGGTCTGTTGGTAATGGCTGGAGCGGAATTTGTGAAATGGTATCAAATACATCAAACATATGGTTTCCATGTGTTTGATGCTATTCCGTTCGCTCCATTTCAGTCATTTGTTCTTCACATAGCCCTGAGAGTAAAGATCTCTGTAATGGAGACAAAGCCTTGCTTCAAACAGTAAAGGTCACTATCAGGCCACTGTCACCATGATGGATTAGAAGTATGCTGTCTCTTGTACTCTTTCCATACTATCATTACCGACCCAAGCCGTACTGTGCTGGCTTGGATATTTCCTTTTCACATTGTCCTTTCCAGTACATTGCCAAACATTATACACTGTCTGTGGATGCATAATCAGGCCAGTGCAGTACAATTCGGTTTGCCTTGGCTTGGCTCGGCTCAGTAGTTTGAAAAGGGTATTAATGGTCTGTTATATCACATGACCTGACTCCTGTTTGACATGGCCAGGATGTAGAGGTAGAGGGCGGCTGTGATGCTGCAACCTAAGGACAGAGGATTCCCTCGCTGCTGCATCGTAGGCCACGCTCGACTAGTGACATAGTCTCATCGGAGCCGCTAAGATGGCCGGAGGTCTTCCACTCCAATTCCATATCCTGCAGCAGGACGCTAATGCTGCTGTTCCCCTTCTCCGCCTCAACTTCCGCTGCCATGGCCTCCAAGCGTTCCGCAGCCTTGCTCAGGTCGAACTGCTCGATCTCGGCGTTGACACGGTCACGCTCCTCAACAGAGGGAGCAGGGCCTGAGGGGTCGGGGCCTGAGGGGCAGAAACCCTGGAGGTGCACCTGGAGGCTACAGTAATTAAGGTAGGCGCATGGACAGTGTGGGCAGTGGTAGGGGCGCTCGCCAGTGTGCAGGCGCTTGTGGAGCTTGAGGTGGGCATACTGGGTGAAGCGGGCCAGGCACAGCTTGCACTGGTAGGGCTTCTCGCCTGAGTGGAGACGCAGGTGGGTCTTGAGGTTGCTGGTGCTGCTAAAACGCTTGTGGCACACCTGAAGCGAGAGAGAGAGAGAGAGAGAGAGAGAGAGAGGTTGGGGGAAAAAGGATGAGAGTCATTATTTCATTAATGGTGTTTCTTTAGTAATAGAGTAAGATTAGTATGAGAGTTTACACAGGCTTGCTTGAGAATAATATGATGTGTTATTTTGTGCTCCCATTGGCAACTTTGTACAGTATACCATAGTGAAGAAATATGGTATCAGTGAAGCATGACGTTTCAGTGAAGTCTCAGTATACCTGGCATTCGTGTGGCTTCTCCCCGGTGTGAACCAGGAAGTGTTTCTGCAGGTGGGCCAGCTGGGTGAAGTCCTTACTGCAGGTCTGACACCTGAAGGGCCGCTCTCCACTGTGGACGCGCAGGTGGACCTGGAGACAGGAAACATAATAGCAGGAAGGAAGGAAACATAGAAAGATAGCCATAGAAAGAGATAGCCGTAAAAAGGAAATGAAAGAAGTGGAAACCCAAAAAACAGAGGATGAGACAAATCTATTTCTTGAAAAGAACAGAAAGGCCCTATGCACCCAATAACACCTTTGTTGCAGCCTGGTCTCATACACTAGACATAACATATTAAAGTAAAATCCAGGACACTCAAATGTGTATGATATCAAATCAAATCAAATCAAATTGTATTTGTCACATGCGCCGAATACAACAGGTGTAAAAAAAATAAGTGTTAAGTAAAAAATAGATAACAACAAAAATAAAATAATCAATAAAATAACAGTAGCGAGGCTATATACAGGGGGTACCGGTACAGAGTCAGATATGTTACGTTTTGTATGGTTAAATAAGACAGAAGGTTACCTAAGGCAAAAACAATGGTGGCAAGCTTTACACCACTTCAGCTGATGCTTGGCATTGCGCATGGTGATCTTAGGCTTGTGTGCAGCTGCTCGGCCATGGAAACCCAATTCATGAAGCTCCCGACTAACAGTTCTTGTGCTGACGTTGCTTCCAGAGGCAATTTAAAACTCGGTAGTGAGTGTTGCAACCGAGGACAGATTATTTTTACGCGCTACGCACTTCAGGTCCCATTCTGTGAGCTTGTGTGGCCTACCAGTAGTGAGTGTGCCAAATTGAAAGTCACTGAGCTCTTCAGTAAGGCCATGCTCCTGCCAATGTTGTCTATGGAGATTGCATGGCGGTGTGCTCAATTTTATACACCTGTCAGCAACGGGTGTGGCTGAAATAGTCGAATCCACTAATTTGAAGGCGTGTCCACATACTTTTGTATATATAGTGAATCATATGAAATGGATGATGGACATCCACAAATTAATACATACCATACAAAACGTAACATATCATACTAAGTTCAGTGTCCTGGGTTTTTGTTTACTATGTTACGTCTATCCCTGAGTCCAGGTTGTTTATTGACAAGGTTTCGATCCAATAAAGGTGGCAATTAGGAGCATACAGTGTAATTGGGAGTATATACTGTTATTTTCCTACTTTGTTAGCCCAGCAGCAGTTTTTTCAGGTTCTTTGTATGACCACAAACTTTTCCATAAACAAAACTATTTCAATAATAATATCATATTAGCATAAACTATAATCTAAACATAAACTACTTGTGATCTCAGACATGGGCCATATGATGAGGGACTGACTGACCTTGAGGTTGGACAGCTGACCAAAGATCTTGCCACAGACGTTGCACTCGTATCGGATCTTCCCATTCTTCCGGGTAAGCGGGTAGGAAAGGGTCTTGTACCCGATGACCCGTCCACCATGCCTGGCCTTCCGCAGGTCCACTGCCCCTTCCTCTGCACTGTGGATGGAGCTCAGCAGGGCAGATGTGTGCTTGGAGGGGAAGTAGTCAGAAGAGGCAGCCAGGCCTGCCGGCGGTGAGCCTCCCCTGGGTGCGAGACAGGTTGCCATGGATGAGGCCCTGGAGGTGGCTGGTAGAGGCTGGTCATCGAAGGTGCTGCTGGCAGGTGAATGCTTAGAGTCCCTGAAGTTGTCCGTTGGTGTCAAAGGGAGGTTTATGAGGTAATTCTTTGGTGAAGGCACATGGTCCCCAAGGTGTTTGCGCCCATTTGTCGGCATACAATTGAGGTCTTTTTCGCTTTTGGTCAATGCAAGGGGCAGATCTCTGCTGCCATTGGGCAGTGAGAAGTTTTTGTGGGAAGTGGTCAGAGTGAGCAGGAGCTCTTTGTGTACATTGGCAGATGGGCGCAGGGAGTGCGGGTAACCCTCTAAAGGCAGCATGTGAGGTGGAAGTGGCATATGAGGAGCTAGTCTGTCACTGTACAGGGGGTATGTGTGAGGTAGTAGGCTGTTAATGCCAAGTGGGAAGTGAGGTATGAGGAAGGGACTGCACAGTGAACTGGTGTACATGTGACCTGGCAGCGAGGACACTGGGTAATGTTTGGCTGTGATGGAACTGCCCAGGCTGGGCTTGACAGGGAAGTGCATGTGGGGGGTGACAAGGCTGCTGAGGGTCCTTTTGGGGATGGGGGGTCCACAGTATGGGATGGGTGGGTAGCTGGGGTAGACCACAGAGGGGCAAAGGGGTAGGACAGGGCTGCAGGTTTGGGACAGTGCTGATTTGGGTAGTCGGGGGCAAGGGGGATGGGGCTTGGTGGGCTCCTTCCTCAGGATTTCGGACATGCTGTGCCCCCTCTTCCCTGAACTCTTTCCGCGAACCTGGTTCTGCTCTGTGGGACATCAAAAAAAGAGACATACTTAGGGTAAAGTTTTGTCACACAAAGTAATCAAATCAAATCAAATTGTAATTATCACATGCTCCGAATACAACATGAAATGCTTACTTACAAGCCCTTAACCAACAATGCAGTATAAGAACATATTTGCTAAATAAACTAAAGTTAAAAAAGTTACACAATAAAATAACTATGCATAGATAATAAACAGCAAGTAGCAGCAGCATAAAAATGGGGGTCAATGCAAATAGTCCGGGTAGCCATTTGATCAACTGTTCAGGTGTATTATGGCTTGGGGGTTGAAGCTGTTAAGGAGCTGCTTGCCGTGCGGTAGCAGAGAGAAAAGTCTATGACTTGGGTGGCTGGAGTTTTTGACAATTCTTAGAGCCTTCCTCTGACGTCTTGGTATAGAGGTCCTGGATCGAAGGAAGCTTGGCCCCATTGATGTACTGGGCCGTACGCACTACCCTCTGTAGCACCTTGAGGTCGGATGCCGAGCAGTTGCCATGCCAGGCGGTGATGCAACCAGTCAGGTTGCTGTCAATGGTGCAGCTATATAACTTTTTGAGGATCTAAGGACCCATGCCAAATCTTTTCAGTCTCCTGAGGGGGAATAGGTGTTGCTGTGCCCTCTTCACGACTGTCTTTGTGTGTTTAGACCATGATAGTTTGTTGGTGATGTGGACACCAAGGAACTTGAAGCTCTCGACCCACTCCACTACAGCCCCGTCGATATGAATGGGGGCGTGCTCGGGCCTCCTTTTCCTGTAGTCCACGATCAGCTCCTTTGTCTTGCTCACATTGAGGGAGAGGTGGTTGTCCTGTCCCAACACTCATCGTTGTCGGTGATCAGGCCTAACACCATTTTGTTTTCGGCAAACTTAATGATCGTATTGGAGTCGTGCTTGGCCACGCAGTCATGGGTGATAAGGGAGTACAGGAGGGGACTAAGCACGCACCCCTGAGGGGCCCCTGTGTTGAGCATCAGCGTGACAGATGTATTGCTGCTTACCCTTACCACCTGGGGGCGGCCCGTCAGAAATCCAGGATCCAGTTGCAGAGGGAGGTGTTTAGTCCCAGGTTCCTTAGCTTAGTGATGAGCTTTGAGGGCACTATGGTGTTGAACGCTGAGAGGTAGTCAATGAACAGCATTCTCACGTACAGTGGGGAAAAAAAGTATTTAGCAATGACACAGGTCAAACGTTTTCTGTAAGTCTTCACAAGGTTTTCACACACTGTTGCTGGTATTTTGGCCCATTCCTCCATGCAGATATCCTCTAGAGCAGTGATGTTTTGGGGCTGTCGCTGGTTAACACAGATTTCAACTCCCTCCAAAGATTTTCTATGGGGTTGAGATCTGGAGACTGGCTAGGCCACTCCAGGACCTTGAAATGCTTCTTACGAAGCCACTCCTTCGTTGCCCGGGCGGTGTGTTTGGGATCATTGTCATGCTGAAAGACCCAGCCACGTTTCATGTTTCCACCCCCATGCTTCACAGTAGGTATGGTGTTCTTTGGATGCAACTCAGCATTCTTTGTCCTCCAAACACGACGAGTTGAGTTTTTACCAAAATGTTTTTGGTTTCATCTGACCATATGACATTCTCCCAATCCTCTTCTGGATCATCCAAATGCACTCTAGCAAACTTCAGATGGGCCTGGACATGTACTGGCTTAAGCAGGGGGACACGTCTGGCATTGCAGGATTTGAGTCCCTGGCGGTGTAGTGTGTTACTGATGGTAGGCTTTGTTACTTTGGTCCCAGCTCTCTGCAGGTCATTCACTAGGTCCCCCCGTGTGGTTCTGGGATTTTGGCTCACCGTTCTTGTGATCATTTTGACCCCACGGGGTGAGATCTTGCGTGGAGCCCCAGATCGAGGGAGATTATCAGTGGTCTTGTATGTCTTCCATTTCCTAATAATTGCTCCCACAGTTGATTTCTTCAAACCAAGCTGCTTACCTATTGCAGATTCAGTCTTCCCAGCCTGGTGCAGGTCTACAATTTTGTTTCTGGTGTCCTTTGACAGCTCTTTGGTCTTGGCCATAGTGGAGTTTGGAGTGTGACTGTTTGAGGTTGTGGACAGGTGTCTTTTATACTGATAACAAGTTCAAACAGGTGCCATTAATACAGGTAACGAGTGGAGGACAGAGGAGCCTCTTAAAGAAGAAGAGTACAGGTCTGTGAGAGCCAGAAATCTTGCTTGTTTGTAGGTGACCAAATACTTATTTTCCACCATAATTTGCAAATAAATTCATTAAAAATCCTACAATGTGATTTTCTGGAGAAAAAAATTCTCAATTTGTCTGTCATAGTTGACGTGTACCTATGATGAAAATTACAGGACTCTCTCATCTTTTTAAGTGGGAGAACTTGCACAATTGGTGGCTGACTAAATACTTTTTTCCCCCACTGTAGGTGTTCCTTTTGTCCATGTGGGAAAGGTCAGTATGGAGTGCAATAGAGATTGTGTAATCTGTGGATCTGTTGGGGCGGTATGCGAATTGGAGTGGGTCTAGGGTTTCTGGAATGATGGTGTTGATGTGAACCATGACCAGCCTTTCAAAGCACTTCATGGCTACAGACGTGAGTACTACGGGTCGGTAGTCATTTAGGCAGCTTACCTTGGCGTTCTTGGGCACAGGGACTATGGTGGTCTGCTTGAAACGTAGGTATTACGGACTCGGTCAGGGAGAGGTTGAAAATGTCTGTGAAGACACTTGCCAGTTGGTCAGCGCATGCTATGTGTACACGTCCTAGTAAAATATTTTGCCCTGCGGCCTTGTGAATCTTTACCTGTTTAAAGGTCTTACTCATATCCGCTACCTTGAGCGTGATCACACAGTTGTCCGGAACAGCTGGTGCTCTCATGCATGCTTCAGTGTTGCTTGCCTCAAAGCGCGCATAGAAGTCATTTAGCTTATCTGGTAGGCTCGCATCACTGGGCAGCTCGCGGCTGGGCTTCCCTTTGTAATCATTAATAGTTTGTAAGCCCTGCCACATCCGACGAGCATCAGAGCCGGTGTAGTAGGATTCAATCTTAGTTATGCATTGACGCTTTACCTGTTTGATGGTTCGTCGGAGGGCATAGCGGTATTTCTTATAAGCGTCCGGAAAAGAGCACAGATCCAATGCATCGCACTGGTGACTAAACTCATCACGCTGCAAATGATAGTTTTATGGTACTTTTTGCACAGATCGGCACATGACACAATCGCGAGATGCAGTCTTTGGAATTCACACTGAATGATATTCCTTTTTGAAATGTAATGGTTATTTTGCGCACTGCCAATTACTTGTGCTGATTGTCACCCCTAATGATCACATTAACTGCACTGTGGTGAGAACTCACACACTGACTTCACACAAAGCCACAAAGGGTTCAAGTTTACCGACTGCATATCAACGTATAAAATGAGCAGTATCTGTCGGACTAATTGCATTGTGTCACATCAGCACTAGTCTAACCATGACAAATTTAAGAGTCAGTGTCACAAAGCCAAAACTCTTTTTTCCACCTAACGACCTCACTCTTAGTTGAAATCAGTGATACTGCTGTAAAAGGCTCTCAAGAAAGACAGAAACCCCACAAGTTGAGATGAGTTGACAATAAGTGCAATAGCACACACACACACACACAGTCTTGTACAACTAACCTTGTTGGGTCACACAATTCAGTCGCATTCAAAATCCTATTTTCCCTAACCCAAAACCTACCTTAACCCTAACCCGTACTCCTACCCTAACCCTAACCCTAACCCTAACCTTAACCCGAAAACCTAACCTTAACCCTAACCCTAAACCTAACCCTAGCTCCTAACCCTAAAACTAACCCTAGCTCCTAACCCTAAACCTAAACCTAATTCTAACCCTAACACTAATTCTCACCTTAACCCTAAACCCACTAGAAATAGCATTTGACCTTGTGGGGACCAACAAAATGTCCCCAGTTGGTCAAATGTTTGTTTGTTTACTATTCTTGTGGGGACTTCTGGTTTAGTTAAAGAGGTCCACACACGCATACGCACACGCACACGCACACACACACACATACATACACAGAAGCCTTATCTCCTATTTGTTTCACAGGACCACCCCTCCCTCTCTTCCAAACAAACAACCAACACTCTTGGAGCTGTCAACTCGGGACGCCTTGCCAGGAAGTAGTCAATGGAGCATTTCCTCCCGCTCTTCCTCTTCAAGAGCAGCTAAATAAATAAGGGAGACCTACCAGAGAACTGTCAGCACCTCAACACCCCCCTCTGGATGGGTGTAAGTGTGTGTGTGTGTGTACGTGTGTGTGCACATGCGTTCATGCGTTCATGTGTGCATGCATGCGTGTGAGCCTACAGTGCACTTCTAAGTGTGTGTGTGTTTGTGTGTGTGTGTGTGTGTGTGTGTGTGTGTGTGTGTGTGTGTGTGTGTGTGTGTGTGTGTGTGTGTGTGTGTGTGTGTGTGTGTGTGTGTGTGTGTGTGAAAAAACTTACATTTTGCCTTGAGACCTGAAATTGGTCTCGCCTTAACGAGACAAAACCTCTCCTGGTGACACCTGGAGTTAGATCTTCTCTCCTTTCTTTTCTCTCCTCTCCTGCTTTGTCTAACTCCTTCACAAAGGCCTGTGGGTGTGACCTTTATTTATAGTTAAACACCCACACAAAGAGTTTGTAAGGCGGCTGGATCATTGACTGAGCGACTTTGGCTTCGATTAACCACCCACATCCACCCATTGCTCTAGGAAACTCTAGGAATTGCTCTGAACTCCTTTCAATATGTTGTGCCAAACACTCATGGACCATATTGCTTTTCACATCCCCTCACCGCAGTGAATACAAGTCCCAGAGACCCCATATTGTCCCATTCTATATTAGATTGGATCAAATGGGATTGGATCCGTTAGGCTGGCCTAGTATAACTTATTAAGTACATTAGTTGCGGGCTTGATTTCTATATGAATCTGATGTTAGTCGAGGAGGCCACAAAACAGCAACTTGCGGGCCAGATTGCAGGCCACAAGTTTAAGACCTCTGCATTACAGAATCCAACTCAGACACGTACCAATTCTCTCCATTAAGAGCTCTCCGGGGGGCGGGTAGTTAAGACGACGGGCGAACTCCGGGCAGTACCACACCAACAGCTCCTGGCCCGGTGGCACAGTTCTCACTGTGTAGAAGTAGATGGCCATGCCAGTCTGGCACGCCGCCAGATTCTGGTCCTCAGGACGGCGGGCCGGGTTGACGTAGCGCATCCAGTTACTCTTCTCCTCGTCCAAGCCATCCAGGATGTGATGTAACCGACTCTCTGAGAAGACCTGGAGAGAGACAAGGGGGGAGGGGATAAAAGGAGTGAGAGAGAGAGAGAGAGAGAGAGAGAGAGAGAGAGAGAGAGAGAGAGAGATATGACTACACCAACACAACCTTCTCCCCCGGCTCTGAAACCTAAGTTACAGTATCAATCCAGTAGTATGACGTGAGAAATAAAGTCACTCAAGATGTTGTTCTATCTATCATATAAGGTGTGGAGTGTTTTGGTTGGTGGTGGTAGTGGTGGTAGTGGTGGGGTACCTGGGTGTGGTCATAATCTGTGTTTTTTTTCCTACCAGAAAGACAGTATGACAACTCTACTCGAGTCAGTTCACAACTGGCTGTGTTACATCACTCTAACTTCATTATCATATTTATATACCAATACAGCACACCTAAAAGGCTACACATTCCTGGAGAGCAAAAAATAGACTTCATTTTGGATCCTTCACTCTGGATTTCTGCTCTACCACAGTTTTCCACTCAATCTGCTTTACATCAATTTGTTTGTTGATCTTTGTCTGGAAGAAGTGTTGTTTGCAGATTGACTCATGTCTTTATAGTGTTCCGGTTGTCTATGTTATGGCTGTGTTAATCTCATGTCTGTGTAGTGACTCCGTTGTTTAGATGTTGTGTCGGGTCTGTGTCATGAATATGCTGTTTGCATGCCTACACCATTAGCTGTGTGTATGCAAGTGGAAGTCGTGGCTCGCAAGACCTAGGCCACTTCCTTGCTTAGTCAGTGTGAGAGTCAGTGTGTGTGTGTATGTGTGCATGTGTGTGTGTGCGCGTGTGTTTCCCAGCAGTGAGACCATGGCACTGCCGAGAGGAGCAGAGAGAGGAAAAGCACTGCGTCACCGAAACTGAACAGCTGTGTGTGTGACCTCACACAACCTCCTCCCGAACGGGCAAACACACGCACACACACACAACCTTTACAGTAAAGCAAAAAATAACACGTTGGCAAAAAAACACAATCACATACATATTACACAGGATGAGAGACCACAAGTGTCAATTTGTGCCATCCCTCTCACTTACCCTCCAGAAGTACTTCCTGTTGGCATCTTTGGGCACCATGTCATTGCTGTAGGTCTGGCCCACCAGAGGGCCGAACCGTGTCCCCTTCGGAATGAGCTCCCGACTCGTCACCCCAAGCACCTGTACCACACAGGAAGGAGGAAGAGGAGGACCACCCTCCTCAGTGAATTTCATAAAAACAACAATTGTAAAACATTAAAAAAGTTATACTAAATATCATCACGTCACCAAATAATTCATAGCACTATTTTGCAATGAAGGTCTACAGTAGCCTCAGCAGCACTCTGTAGGGTAGCACCATGGTGTAGCCAAAGGACATCAAGCTTCTGTCCTCCTCTGAGTACATTGACTTCAATACAAAACCTAGGAGGCTCATGGTTCTCACCCCCTTCCATAGACTTACACAGTAATTATGACAACTTCCAGAGGACGTCCTCCAACCTATCAGAGCTCTTGCAGCATGAACTGACATGTTGTCCACCCAATCAAAGGATCAGAGAATTAATCTAGTACTGAAAGCATAAGCTACAGATTGCTAGCACTGCAGTGGTGAGAGAATGTCATATTTTTTTTTCACTTTCAGTTCCACTTACTTAGCTAGCAAATGCAGCTAGCTTGTTTAGCCTACTCAAACACCCTGCTCAAACAGACGGATGCTATGTTAGCTAGCTGGCTATGACTATCCAACACAACACTGGAACTCTTCCATGTCAAGGTAAGCTTTTGGATTGCCACCGGGGCCCGCTGGTGTAAATGCTAAACTGCTTACTGACTGTACACTGTAACGTTACTGCATGATTGTAGCGGGTTTACTAACGCGTTAGTTATATTAGCTATGTTGACTATGACATTACTTTAGCTAATATGGTGACAACAATGTAGGCTGTGTGTAGCGGTTATGATATGGTTTGGCTTGGAAAGGATTTGATTTGATTTGATTTGATGATATGGTTTGGCTTGGCTTGGAAAGGTTTTTTCGCCTGGTCACATACAGCTGATGTGTTGTGCACTGAGGTCCACAAGCGAAGGGAAAGGTGAGAGGAGGAGAGTGCATAGATGCGAAAAGGAATACAATGTGGCTGCTATGAAAGTTAACTGTATTTACTCGTGATCAGGGGTGTATCATTCTGCCAATTCTGTTGAAAGATGTTTCTTAAATGGAAGCAAACGGAACGTTTGAATGTGTCACTGTCTGTCCATGTGTCACTGTCTGTCACCTCAAATGTTTATCTCGACCTGTGTACATCTACGTTGTAAACTTTCATTCATAGGCTAGGTTGTAGCAACCTCATGATGGGTATAGGGAAAATTGAAGTATGCTAAACATATCACTGTTACATTGAACTGGATGAATGGAATATGAATTACAGTCATCTAATATGCTGTAATAAAAATAAGGCCGTGCTCATGAAAAAAAAAAGAAGTCCTCCCTCATCTTAAACGGCACTGACCGCCACTGCTGTACTTAGTGCTATACAGTGCATTCGGAAAGTATTCAGACCCCTTCCCCTTTTCCACATTTGGTTACATTTCAGCCTTATTCTAAAATGTATTAAATAAATGTTTTTCCTGATCAATCTACACACAATACCCCATAATGACAAAGCAACAAAATATTAAGTATAAGTATAGTATTCAGACCCTTTGATATGAGACTTGAAATTGAGCTCAGGTGAATCCTGTTTCCATTGATCATCCTTGAGATGTTTCTACAACTTGATTGGAGTCCACCTGTGGTAAATTCAATTGATTGGACATGATTTGGAAAGGCACACACCTGTCTATATAAGGTCCATAATTGACAGTGCATGTCAGAGCAAAAACCAAGCCAAGAGGTCGAAGGAATTGTCCGTAGAGCTCCGAGACAGGATTGTGTCGAGGCACAGATCTGGGGAAGGGTAGCAACAAATTTCTGCAGCATTGAAGGTCCTCAAGAACACAGTGGCCTCCATCATTCTTAAATGGAAGAAGTTTGGAACCACCAAGACTTTTCCTAGAGCTGGCCGCCTGGCCAGCTCAATCGGGGGAGGTGACCAAGAACCCAATGGTCACTCTGACAGAGCTCCAGAGTTCGTCTGTGGAGATGGGTCAACCTTCCAGAAGGCCAACTATCTCTGCAGCACTCCACCAATTAGGCCTTTATTGCAGAGTGGCCAGACGGAAGCCACTCCTCTGTAAAAGGCACATGACAGCCCGCTTGGAGTTTGCCCAAAGGCACCTAAAGGATTCTCAGACTGTGAGAAACAAGATTCTCTGGTCTGATGAAACCAAGATTGAACTCTTTGGCCTGAATGACAAGCATAACGTCTGGAGGAAACCTGGCACCATCCCTATGGTGAAGCATGGTGGTGGCAGCATCATGTTGTGGGGATGTTTTTCAGCGGCAGGGACTGGGAGACTAGTCAGGATCGAGGGAAAGATGAACGGAGCAAAGTACAGAGAGATCCTTGATGAAAACCTGCTCCAGAGGGCTCAGGACCTCAGAGTGGGGCGAAGGTTCACCTTCCAACAGGAAAACGACCCTAAGCACACAGCTAAGACAACGCAGGAGTGGCTTCGGGACAAGTCTCTGAATGTCCTTGAGGGCCCAGCCAGAGCCCGGACTTGAACCCGATCTAACATCTGTGGAGACACCTGAAAATAGCCGTGCAGGAATGCTCCCCATCCAACCTGACAGAGCTTGAGAGGATCTGCGGAGAAGATTGGGAGAAACTCCCCAAATGTGTGCCAAGCTTGTAGCGTCATACCCAAGAAGACTTGAGGCTGTAATCACTGCCAAAGGTGCTTCAACAGAGTAATGAGTAAAGGGTCTGAATACTTATGTACATGTGATATTTAAGTTTTTAGTTTTTTATTCATTTGCAAAAATTCTAAAAACCTGGTTTTGCTTTTTCATTATGAGGTATTGTGTGTAGATTGATGAGGGGAAAAAACATTTGAATCAATTTCAGAATAAGCCTGTAATGTAACAATATGTGGAAGTCAAGGGATCTGAATATTACATGTATTTTTGTAGAGCAACACTTTTTGTGGAATGTACTACACAGCGCACAGACCCCCATCGCACACTCAACGTCGTCGAGATATGTTGAGTTTCCTTGTAGGCGGGCTATTTGGCGGGGAAACTGTGAATCCAGCTGTATAGCCTATTGCCTTCTTCTGTTTATGAGTCTTTTATTAAATAATGTGAACAATGTTGTGTCTGTTTGCTGCTTTTCATTAAATCATGCATAGCTGTTCTTTATATGGCCTAAAATAAATGTGTTCATATGGGCACAATACAGTATGTATTGGATAAAGGCACAATTTTGGGGCTTTTCTTGGGCTTGGGCTCATTAAAGTACCAACTGTTAATGTAGGACACATAAAATGTATTTAATATATGTGTCATCAGGCTCAGGTAGCATCAGGTTTGAATATTCATGCTGATCAAAGCTCTAATCAAATCTAGACATATTTATATGCTTTATAATGCTTTTGAATGACACTTCCGGTTTTGGCGGGAAATACCGGGTTACCCGGGAGAAAAGTGATTTGTTCTCGGGATGGAACATTTGTAAAATACCGGGAAAATATTCAACCCTGATACTGACTGACTGAACAAGCTACTCAAAGACAAAGAGGGAATAGGAAGAGACCCTGAATTTGAACAAATTCATATTGACAAACGCTGTCCATGCCCTTACATCAGACACACTTTGATTCGAGTCATGTTCGAACACTCTGAAAAATGCATCGTTCCTCCCTACCTCTCTTGATACAATCACTGATTTGGACAGATGACAGCAATCCAGTGGAACCGTTACTTTCACCTATCCAGTCATCTTATATCTTAGATCTGTGAACACTTCAAGGAAGGGTGGTAGGAAGGATCCATTTTGAAAGATTTCAAACATGGCCTCAGTCTCATTCCTGTCTCCTGTTCAGTAAGGCGTGAATCCGGTTTTCTCTTAAATGTACTTTTCACTCATCAATGCATAAAAATAATGATATGGTTACCTAAGTGGAATTTAGGATTTGACCCTAAACATCAACCTGCCCGCCCAACCACTTTCCTTCTTTCATGTTGATCAAACTAGCTGATACACTTCTTCTTCGACCTGAGATTATTTACGATCAGTAGCGCGGGTCTCAGTGTCTCTGCTTTACAGTTTAATGGCAAGGGACATTGGGAACCGGTAATGTAAAGTAAAGTACTAACTAATCATATTGACCCCAGGCTGTGGCTCTGAAGACTGGGGCTGCATCCCAAATGGCACCCTATTCATTATATAGTGCACTACTTTTGACCAGGGCCCATAGGGAAACCCTATGGTCAAAAACAGTGCACTATATAGGGAATAGGGTGCCATTTAGGATGCGTCCATGGCTATTGTCTTGCCATCTGTCGTAAGATGTACACAGCGTAAAAGACACAGAGAGGAAAAGCTGGAATTAGTCAACAATGTGTCAAGCATTTCCTCCTCCCGAGGAAGGATGGAAGGAAGGATTGGTGGATATGGGAGTGATGTAAGGTGAGTTTTCCAAAACGCACACACAGAACAAATATAGTACAGCTGTATGCACATGCATAAACACACACACACACACACACACATTACACAGACCCATATGAACAGATAGGCATAAATTCTCATGCATGTGCGCAAACGTGCCCGTGTGCACGCAAACACACCGACACACACACACCCAAACACACTAGAAGGCCCCCACAAAGAAACACCACGCCTACTCACTCTCCCACACACGAAAACACAAACACTCACACATACCTGCATTCAAATACTAACTCTTTCACTCTCAACTCTAATTTTTTTAACACATCCCCCCCATACACAGGAAAGTGTGGTCGTCACGCTTTCAGTATACCCTACCTCTGCAGAGTCAGGGCAGCGTTTCAGGACCAAGTTTTGGGGTAGAGACCTCTCAGCCTTGGTCTTGTTCTGGTTCTCTGGGTGGTTACCCGGGTCCAACGGGTGGTCCTTCAAGATGTAGGTGCACCTCTCCTGGAACTCGGCCTCACTCCAGAGGGTCATGTCTGTGTCCTGGGGGTCTGAGTCAGTCATGGCCAGGGTCAGGGTGGGGGTGGAGACCCATGTGGTGTGGGGAGAGGGGGAGCCATCTGAGGTTAACATGGCTGTGCTGTTCTGGGAGGAAGAGGAGGCCTAGGGGAGAAAGACAAGACAAGTGAGGGATAAGAACACAGAAGAGTATGAGAACTATGATGTGCATTAGCCCAAATAATTGAGGAAGTCCACATAGATTCTCTGTTTCCATTTTTTCTTGTATCTGCTTATATCCTTTGCTCTCTGCTCTTCTCCTGATCTCCTTATTCTCTCTCTCTCTCTCTCTCTCTCTCTCTCTCTCTCTCTCTCTCTCTCTCTCTCTCTCTCTCTCTCTCTCTCTCTCTCTCTCTCTCTCTCTTGCTCTCTCTCGCTCTCTCTCGCTCTCTCTCTCTGTCCTATAGAGTTGAAAAAGCATGAAGCATCACAAACAGCGGATGAAGTGTTCTGAAGGAGGAAGCTCTACTCTGTTTTGAATGGAGCTAAAATTAGAAGCAAGGAAGCCGAGGTGTGAGACAGTCAGAGACGGGGGGAGGTGGCGGAGGGGTAAGAGGGTTGTCGATCAGTCGGAGGGGGGTGTCCTAACTAACTTTCCCACCGAACACTACCGGACAAACAAACTTCAAAGGGTAGCGCCCATCCCTCCACCATCCCACCATCCCACCATCGCCGCCCACCATTCCAAACATCCTGTGACCGTCCAAAACACGATGCCAGGCTGCAAGAAGAGGTTCCTGTGCACGTCAGCCAAGGAGTGGGGGCCACCACTTTCACAAGAAGGAAACCAGTGTTCCCCTTGAATCAGTCCAGACTTCCTCTCTACACTGACTGGGACCTGGCTCTCGTCCCAGTTACCTGTCTGTCTGTTCGTCTGTTCGTCTGTTCCTCTGTCTTTCTGTCTGTATGTCTGTCTGTCTGTCTGTCCATGGTGTTCGACCTGGACATTCTCTTTTCACATTTTCCTTTCCAGCACGGTTCCAGCAGCTATGATGGATGCGTGACCAAGCCAGTGCGGTACAGCTCGGCCTGGGATCAACTCAGAAGTGTGAAAAAGCTTTCATTAAGACTGGACAAAGCCATGAATAGGACTAGAGTTAGTCTGAAAAATGCTAATCCTACAGCGCCTTTGCAAGTGTAAACATCTGGCAAATGTGGGTGGAGTAAATGTTGTGAAATGTCAGAAGCTGGTGATTTGAAATGCCATTTAGCAGACGGTTTTATCCAAAGCAACTATTCAAGCAGGCATACATTTTTCATATGAGTGGTCCTGGGAATCAAACCCACTATCCTGACGTTGCAATCACCATGCTCTACCAACTGAGCTATAGAGGACCAGTTGATGGTATAGATCAAGTTGAAGTTTCCCAACTTTTATTATCTTCACTTTCACTTTTTGAATAAATTCTAGTGCTCCAAAATGTATGGAAGTAGAATGATTTGACATAATATCCTCAACACATTTTGAGATGGTCACAACATAGCACATATAATTATAATTATTATTCATTTTTTAATACCAGTGATATCCTATTAGAACACGTAAACAATTCCATGCATCATACTCATCCATACGAGGAAAGGAAACTGATCTTCTCTTGTACTGTACACTCATCGACCAAGATTGATGGATGACATTTCACGTTTCTTTGGTACGCATTACCGCGGAGTGGAATGAGTGTCACAACAGACGGTGACAGCTCACTCTGAAAGCATGCAGCTATGCAACTACACTCTGAAATCGATGCATGATGAGTGAAAGGCACACAGCTGTGGCATCATGAGAAGTTGTAAAAATTTAAAATATCCTCATTACAACATAACACCTTATGACACAAAGGAAGATTAACTTTTGTAAGAGGAGTGATGTGAAATCTGTGCCACGAGTGACTAAAAACGAATACTTTCACAGACTTAATGAAAGCCTACAACTCAAATATCTGTGTCATTGTATGACACTGTCACACCAAATGACACAAAAAAATGAAATTTAGGAAGTGGAGTGATGTGAAATCTGTGCAGTGTGTGACTGAAAACATACAGTACTTTCACAAACTTCATGAAAGCTCAAATATCACTATCGCTGTTTCACCGTCACACGTCACATTATGACACAGAAAAATAACTTTAGGTGAAATCTGTGCTGTGTGTGAAAAACACACTTTCACAACTCTGTGACTGAAACCCAAATGTATACATACACACACATAGAGCATACTATAGTAGAATGAGAAGAATAGAGCGATGAAAAAGGAGTGGAGGTGTACTTACTGTGAAGCCTTGAGAGGAGCCACACATAGAGCAGGTTATCTGTGTCCTCGAGTGTCTGTGTAATTGATGCTCCCTCTCCTTCCTTCTCTTCCCCCTTCTCTCTCTCTCTTTCTCTCTGATTAGGTTCTTATACAGTGTGTACCTGTTGTGACTGAGTGACAGTTGTGTGTGTGGGAGTCTCTCTCTCCTCTCTCTCTCTCTCTCTCTCTCTCTCTCTCTCTCTCTCTCTCTCTCTCTCTCTCTCTCTATCTCTCTCTCTTGTGGGTGTGTGGGTCAGCCCTCTCTCTTCCTCCCTACCTTCCTCCTCTGTGTGTGACTCCTCCTTGGGGGTAGTGATCTGTTCGTCTATGCATTGCTCATTCACTCACTCTGCCCCGGGGGCCCGTGCTACGATAAGAAGGACAGCAAGAGCTTTCTCTCCAGGAGGTGCGTCGCCGGTCACACAGATATGTCCGGTTCAGACACACATCTATCTCCATTTTATTTTTTGGGGAGATTCGAAACACAACCCCCCTTTTCTGTCTTCCTTGGGTGTGAATGCATATATGTTAAGCGATGTTGTGCTATGTTGTGTTTGTAGGCCTAATTCAAGGTTTAGAGAGTGTTTGTTTGAAAAGATTCAAAGAAGTTAACTTTTTCTTGTCAGTTCTTTGAAACGGAGAGTTGAATTCAAATTGAAACCGAGACTTTGGTTAGTTTCCAAAACATGACCATAACCATGATTTAAAGAGGTTAAATGTAAATGTTTCCTACAAGTTCTGCCTTGACAAACTTACATAGGCTAGGTCTATAACTCTCACATAATTCAAATGTCAAGGCTGTCACTTAATGTATCTGCACACATTCTGTATTTAGCTGAAGTGTTCTGAAGTTGAGGACTAAATTTAAGGCTTTGTGAATGTGTAGAAATCGGATATACCCCCTCCACATGACAGCTGCGGTCTGAAATAATGTTATTGTAGACATCAGTATTTGGCATTTGACTGGCATAAATGTACACATACAATGCGGGGTCAAGAAAGCTTGTTCAGCCCTAACACGTGATAACCAGGTTATAACCATGTCGTAATATGTCATAACAGCTGACATAACTTGTCATAACCTGTCATAATATGGTCATAACACTGTCATGACCCATATATTTACACCTGTTGTGACATATATTGCGTTATTATATGGCTGGTTATGATACCTATATAAGAGTGTCAAAACCCACATTTATTCAAATTAATTGTTTCCCTGCCAAGAAGTTTCCTTTCATTCATTCTTAAATTCTTGTTGTTGTTGTAATGAATTCTTTACAGTCATGTTTTTTCATCACATTTTAAATAACATGTAGAAAACACACTTGACCATTATGACCATCCTGTGTCACTTTACTTCAGGGTTCTTCAATTCCGGTCCTGTAGGGCCGAAACACCTCTGTTTTTCATCCTCTCCTTCTAATCAGGGGCTAATTCAGACCTGGGACACCAGGTGAGTGCAATTAACTACCAGGTAGAAATAAAAAACAGAAGTGTTTCGGCCCTCCAGGACCGGAATTGAAGAACCCTGCTTTACTTGGACTAAGAAAATAAACTCAAGAAGCATTAGACCATCATAATCATATAAGCCAGAAAGGCCTATCATGTACATGCCCTTATATCAGTCATTAGTCAAAAAGAGGGTGTCTTGTCCTGCTCCTGAAATCTGCTCCTGCATTCATCCCAGTCATCAGCAACAGAGCATTGGGGTAGGTGCATCTCTGACATCAATGTGTGCGCAATTACAATAATAATTTAACATGGTCAATAAAAATATATATATACAGTATATAACATAAACATACTGTTGACACGTAGGCAATGGTGTAATGGAATGTTTTGCCTTGTGTGGTAGGTTTTGTGGGTTTTGACACTCTTATGTAGGTTTTATAACCAGTCATAAATTAACTACCGGGTTAGTTTTGTGGGTTTCGACACTATATAGGTGTCATAACCAGACATAAAATAACGCAATATATGTCACAACAGGTCTAAATATATGTGCCATGACAGTGTTATGACCATATTATAACAGGTTATGACAAGTTATGTCAGCTGTTATGACATTTTATGACACGGTTATGACCGTGTCATAATGTGTTATGACGCTAGGTGTCAAGTAAGTGTTACCCTAATTTTATATGACTACAGATTCTTTCATCACCAAACCAATGGCAGCACATTGGTAACAGCCACACATTATCTTTGAAGCTAAGCAGGATTACGCTTGGTTAGAACAGCTGTAGATTGATCAATTTGCCAGTATAGGAGATGCTGTCCAGGCTGTTGCTTTTTCTGATAGTGGATACTAAGTTGAAGACCTGACATTGCTTCAAATTTACAATATCAATGCATTTTAAAGGAAAGCAACAAGGAAAGTTGGTTCATTACAAGAGTAACTATTTTAAAAGGACAATCTGCAATGCTACATACATTTTTAGACTTTAAAATGAATGACATATACCCATTGATTCTTGAAGAATATAACTTCCCACTGGGCACAGTCATCAGTTCAACGTTTAGTTTCGATTTACATTTGGTTGAGTTGTCAACTAACCTTAAAGGTTGGATGAAAAAAAGACTAAATTCACTTACGTTGATGACTTAACAAAAATCTAATCAGTTTTCCACGTTGATTCAACATCATCACATTGATTTTTATTTTTTTTATGACATGGAAACAACGTTGATTAAACCAGTTTTTGCCCAGTGGGGTATAAATGCCTCATGAAATTAGTTCAACTGTCGTACCGCACAAGAACCCTAAATATAAGCTTGTTTTACTCCATTGTTTGTAAACAAACACTGTATAGCCTCAAAAAATTGTTAAAACTATCATTTTGATATCATGGATGGTCAGTCCTTGCATTCACAACTATGTCTATGAATTTGATGATGGTTACATTTCTCAAGACCCATCTTTCAGCTGTTTACCAATAACAGTGGAGGGGTGCCTGCTTTGTTATTGTTTGAACTGGAGACTGCCCCTTTAACTTCAGACAACTGTTTGCGAATTCTATGACATTGTTACAATATGCACATGATACAATTTGTTTTTGCCCGATAGGTAGTTTCACAAAACCAAAGTCATGCATTGCAGCCTCTACTTGAGGAGTGTTGTTTTGTGGCACTGTTGATTCGGCATGATGCCAGGCAGCCAGGCAGTTCTGACAGAGCGAAATGAGAGGATTTACACCTGGCACGCACCACGAAACAAGGCAAGTGCCTAGAACAGAAAGATAATGTGTGTGTTTGTGTGTGTGTGTGTGTGTGCGTGTGAATGAGCGCGCGTGTGTATATCATGATAAGGTACTTTGATGGGTGTATGTGAACTTTCAAGCTCTCTCTTTCTCTCCCCCCCTCCCCCTCTCTCTCTCTCTCTCTCGCTCTCTGTTAGGTGTTTTTATGCCCATGTCGTTCCTGTCTCATATCCTGCTACACACCACACCTGACCAGGGTAATAATTAGAGCCGTTGACAAGAAGCGCAGTATAATTTAGAGTCCACTTCTCTCTCCTCTCTCTCTCTCTCCCCCTCCCCCCACAGACATCTTATTCATCACATTCTGTTGAGGGTGAGCTGTCTTTTTCTCCCCCATCCTCTATCATTCACACACCTGCATACTGTATATGTGTGGTGTTAGGGCGGCAGGTAG